CTTTCTTTCAAATTTAACAGTATGTATGCATATAAAACAATTGTCAGAAAATTGTAATCAATGAATAGTTAGTTATTTCTGTGGTTTATAACGGTGAATTAATAGGCTGTTAACTGCAACAATAAAAAACAAAACAAAATAAAAGAAAATATTGTCATGAAGATTTCATGAAATTATTTGGTTTTTCCTGTTATATCATTGTCATAATCAATCATTAATCAGGCAGCATGTCACATATTATTTACACTGCAACCATACACCCAAATGAACTATAATTAAAATCTGTTTACCTTAAATAGCATTAACTGATTTAAATAATATGTTGCATGGTCATAATTGTATATAAAAAAGATACAAGCTTTATTATTTTGTTCACCAGAATTGTAATTCATCTATAAAAGACTCATCAGTGACGCTCGAATGATAAAAGTTAAAAAGGCCAAAATAAATACGAAGTTGAAGAGCATTAAAGGCCAATAATTTCGAAAGATTTTGCCAAATACAGCTAAGGTAATCTATTTCTGGGATAGAAAATCCTTACTATTTTGCATAAGGAAATGCCTGTACCAAATCAGGAACATGACTGTTGTTTTCCATTCGTTCTATGTGTTTGAGCTTTTGATTTTGTCATTTGATAACGGACTTTCCGTTTTGAATTTTCCTTTGAGTTTGGTATTTTTGTTATTTTACTCTTAAGTATTTCGAACAATTCAAAGTTTATAAACAGTCAATTTCGAAATATGACAATATCAATGATAATTCATGTCAAGACAGAAGTGCTGACTCCTTGGCTGGTAATACCCTCGAGGAGGAAACATCCACCAGCAGTGGCGTCGTCCTAGTAGTAGTAAAAACACTCATCAAAGATTATTGATCAATAAATGGTCTTTTACTGATCACTGAAGAAAAAAGTGTGTTGGGGGATAATATTCTAAGACTCTTTATAACAACTACTTTTTAAAAACTTAAATCATGGTAAAAGATGTATACAGTCTCAGTATAACAAAAGTAGGGCAAAGAAGAAAAAAATCAACCATAATGATCTGGATAATGAAAGTTAATGTTTCTGAATTTTATGTATTTTTGGAATAAATTTTATAAATTACATTCAGTTCAAATTGAGCTTTATATTTTGCACAAATAAGTTGCAATTTGTAAAGATTTGATTGTGTTTATTACACATTGACCAAGGAATAAGAATAAGGCAAATCAAAAGACTTCTGGTAAATTTTTATGTATCTGTAGGTGCCACACATCACATTTAGAACATATTTTTAAAGTAGTCCTACTTTGACAAAAACAGTACTTTTGATGTTGTTTACTTAAACTAGCAAATGAATTTACACGTTGACTTTTACTGAATGATAAGACAAGATAAGTTAAGATTGTTTTAGGATAAATACCAAACAATGGAATTGCTACTAAATACAAACACAAATAAACAATACAAATATTTAGCATACAAAAAGTACTGAAATGTTAGACGACATGCCTCCCCTTCAAATTAGCATAAAAATATTATATTTAGAAGAAATGCTGCTTAACTCTATTTTATTCATTCATGTATTAGGTTATATTAAAGAAAAAATGTATAGATATAGTAAAATCAATAGTTCATACACTATTGTTTCTGTAATTATACATCTCACTTATGCCATTAATAATGTTATATTCTACACAAGAGAAAATAAAATCATTTTTTTCCCCATTACTCATTGAAATAAAACTAGGAACAATATCAAAAATTTCATTAATCATTTTCATTCTAGAGTTATTAAGTTGTGCACACATTATTGCAAAATGAAATTCATCTTCCACCTATATATAACATAGGGGGCACAATCTATTTTCTAAAGCTGTTTCATTATACCTATTACGTTCAATAGCTAGCGTGCTGTTACTTATTCTTATTTTGGTATGGTTTTTAATAACATTTTTATCTAAATTTAATAAAAGATATTTTTCAAGTTCATACTTTACTTTAAATTTTCTACCATTCATCGAATTCACATCATTAAAAATACCATTTTTCCAAAATATATTGAAATCTTTTTTCCTTAAGCTTCTTTACTAAAGCTAAAAGTAATCGTATTCTAGAAAAAGTACATTGATTTTGCCAAACATGAGAACAATTCCATTTGGATAGTAAAATTTTTATTTTTGAAGCAAATCCATCAGGTAATTGCTGGTTAACTTTATAAACATTATATAGTAAAGACTCCTTTGAGTTTGAAATATGCAGCCAGAATCATATAGAAGACTTTAAAAGAGCATATATACCAATGGGGGACATTCCTAATTCAGCTAATACAGCTATATTTACTGCTTTTAAATTAACTCCAAGTAGTCTCTTTGCAAATTTGATTTGAAATTTAACTGATTCCATTGTCAAATATTGTATTGTTTTTCTTTACATTATAAAGTGACCATATCTCACTACAATAAAGCATAATTAGACTAACACAAGAATTAAATAGTTTCATTTGGGAAAAAATGTCCGTCTTATCAGAATATAGCATTTTCTTAATGCAAAACAATGCGAAATAGATGTTGACCATATTGAGCCCAAATTTACTTGTGCATGAATTTGCATTGCAATTAAAGGTATGCTTATTAAGATTTTAGGAAAACAAGATTGCTTTTTCGTAGAAGGTGACTTCAAACATTGGTTGTAAATAGCATGTAGAAAGGTGGTAAATGTACTATTTTGGATACACATGGTGCTATTGAAGTTCAACTTAAAGTAAAATATTAAGAGAGCTGAGCCAATTTAAAGGTTTGGTTGAATATATAAGGTTTTTGAATTAGTGGTGTGACAATATGAGTAACACGGCGGATGCAACGGTTTACCAGAACTTTCCGGAGCATCTGAGTTTACTCCGGGTTTTGGTTGAGTTTTGTTTTTTTCTATGAAGTGTATTGTGCTATTTTTTACTGGTCATTTATAAATATTCTAGTTAACAATCTTGTATTATTTACTACGATTATCCAATGGATTTACTTCTTGTACATTCTACTTATATCATAAGCCCAAATGAACTGTTCTCATCACTTGGCATCCATCCTCGTACGATTACTTATATCAAAATCTTCCTCCCTGAAACTGCCAATAGGAACCAAACTCGACCACTATAGTGTCACTTGGGGTACTTAGTTTATAATTATAAAAGGTGTCCAATGACCCCGCCAGGCAACCAGCGTAGACACCATGGTTAAAAATAGTACGAAGGCTTGAAATTCAAGTATTGTTCATTATTTTGAAAATCGTTTTAGAAAAAGAAAATCTGACACGCGCAGAAATTTTAAAATGTCAAAATTCATTCGATCAAAATTGTCAAACAACTTCTTATTTGAGTTTTAGCACTTAAATGACGATTTTTACCATTTTTTTCACATCGGAAGCTATTACTTTGAAAACTATAGTGTGGTAGTAAGAATGGATTTATAATGTCAAACATGATCAGCAGGAAAAGATCTACAAATAAGTTAGCCTAGCTGAAAACGTCAGTCGACTTCTTATTGCACTTGATTGACAATTTTTACTCATTTTGTGTTTTCTAAGCTACAGGAAATAGAGCAGAACTGTTTATATAAGTAAAAGACAAAAATATCAGAAGAACAAGATCTACAATTAAGTCAATTGGCCGAAATTGTCAGTCGACTTCTTATGGTAGTTATTATCTGTGAACGTCAAGTTTTATCCATTTTTTCTGTTTATTGCGGAAACAACAGTAGATGGATAGAAACTGTTAATGAAAAAAATCATAGCAAAATACAATCTGCATATACATTGTAACTTAACATAGCTAAACACATTCATCAAATCCTTTTACTGCCCTTTACGACGATTACTACGGGGCTTTTAAGTGTGTTTTTTGTTGTTGTTGTTTATAAGACTATAAAAGATAAAAAGAAGAGCTGTCGATAACAGAAAATATCAGTTAAACAATATCTACATAAAAGTGAAAAAATTCAATCGACTCTTTATAGGAGTTATTGTCCTTGAATCACGATTCTAACTATTTTTGCATTTTTTGAAGGAAACGTGAAGTGAATTTGTTCTTATGTTGTGCGATGACACCACTGTCCCAGGTTAGGGAGGGTTGGGCGCCCACAGGCGTGTTTAACCTGTTATATTCTGTACGTGTCTGTCCCAAGTCCCATATTTGTTTTTTCGTTTGTTGTTTTGTTATTTAATCAGGCCTTTGGTTCTCTCGTTTGAATTGTGTTACATTTGAACATGTCGGGGCCTTTATAGCTTGATATACGGTTTGCTCATTATTGAAGACCATATGATAATAACATCTACGTCATTTTGTCTCTGGTTGATACTTATTTCATTAGCAATCTTACCACAGCTCCCTATTTTGAATTGTAGTGTGAGCGAGGCGTGGTGTTCTATGGATACATATTCTTGTTATCTGATACCTTGTCCCTTTGGTATATTTCGCCTCACTTTTGAAAACTTAAATATATAGACTATAATTTAAACAGAAAAATAGGTATACAAATAGTCAATATGAATCATTTGTTGCCTGTAACTCACATTTTTAACATATAATTCAATGTTGGATATATTCACATGATTCGTGCAAACTATCATGGATAGACATAACCTTGGTGCATCAACTGCGATCAGCAGAACATGATTTATCCTACACATATCCATTCGACACTAGTAATCTTGTTGCATGGTGCGTAATTTGTTTGTCAAAAATACCAGATACCTGTTGAGCGATAAAACCTTCTTGGATCCTCAAGTGTTATAGCTGCATTTCGATAAAGAAACCTGCGTATATTGGAAATATAATAATGCAATTACTAGTATGCTAAGATTTGTAAATATTGCTTAAGATTTATTTGATTAAATGAAAGATTCAAGCAAGAGTGTTTGTATGACAAATTCCGGTTTGAATTTATATGACATATGACCAATATTTAATTTTTATAACTTACTTTAGTTTTTTTATATGTTTTTGTTTTGTAATTTTTAGCTTTTGCGTATGTTGGGATCATCGCAAGTATTGTGTTGTATGGAAGAGCTGTATTTCAATGCCAACTGATCGGTGACCATTTTAAAAGAAATGTAACAAGGAAGTGGGACTTGGATCACACACTATCATTATATAATGGAAAGTCGATTAATTATTCCAAATATACAGAAGAACTATATTCAAGTGGATTTAGACTCATTGTTCATAATTTCACAGAATACGATTTAGGAAAAACTTACACATGTGTGTACGGATTTTTACAAAACTCTATCAAATTATCACTCAGCGATGATTTGTTTATATGTAAGTCTCAGAACTATTTCATATCTCCTACTTGTAAATTAATCTAAACATATGGTACTTAAGTAGTTAAATTCATCTTTATTTCACTGTAGACTTCTGTACATAAGCTGTTTACATGCAAATGTCAAAATACAGTATTTGTATTTGATATTTCCTGTCAGAATTTTCTTGACACATAATTTCATTTAATTGGGTACAGACGTTCGGCTAATAATAAAAATACCCCCAATTCATATATTGATTTATTTAAAAAATTCCTAACCATACATATATTTCATAGGAAAATCTATATATATATATATAACCAAGCTACGATCTATCTTAATTAGATGTATTAGTCAGAACAATGTGGTAAAAAGATAAGTTTCATTGCTGTAAAAAGCTTTTACAGACAACTCATCAGAAGATAAATATTTATTACCCATTTTGTACCCAAAGTTTTATTATCTCCTTAAAATTGCATTCCCCCCATTGATACATTTGACATCTAAAAAAGTGACCCATACCAGCGTCTGTATATACATTTGTTTGTTTTTTGTTTTTTTTTAATAGGTGATACCTTTCCCCTTTGTGATTATCCAACAATGCATATCCACTGCAATCCTATGTAAATGTAAATAAACTCATCATAGATACAAGGATTGAATTTTGTATTTGCTCCAGACGCGCGTTTCGTCTACAAAAGACTCATCAGTGACGCTCGAGTAAAAAATGTTAAAAAGGCCAAATAAAGTACGAAGTTGAAGAGCATTGAGGACACAAATTCCTAAAGGTTTTGCCAAATACAACTAAGGTAATCTATTCTTGCTTGAGGTAGAAATGCCTTAGTATTTCAAAAATTCAAAGTTTTGTAAACAGTTAATTTATAATTATGACCATATCAATGATAATTCATGTCAACACGGAAGTGCTGACTACTGGGCTGGTGATACCCTCGGGGAATAAAAACTCCACCAGCAGTGGCATCGACCCAGTGGTTGTAAATAAACTCATCATAGATACCAGGATTGAATTGTGTATTTTGTAATTCATTTCTCGTGTTGCGACTACCCATAATGTTACAATTCCACATTTATGATTTTTCTCTCCCTTCCGTAAGGCTTTCTCAATTCTATAATCCATTTACGCCAAAAGATTTTAAGCAACATCATCAGGAAACCTATCAGAACTAAATTTTGTAACGTAATAAATATAAGATTGCTTGTGTATTTTATGAAAGTACCGTCACACAATTTGAAATTAAATTTCAAAACCAATAGTTAAGTCAGATTGGCATCATTGAATCGACATGGTGGACTTATGAACGAGTTGTAATATCACTGATACAGCAACATCGACAGAAACTGACACAGCAACATCGACAGCAACACTCAACCAAATCGTGAAAGCGACTATAATGTTTGGCGCGCATTCATATGCGTTGACTAAATATCACTATGACTGATTGGATTCTGTGACAGTACGTGTGTCCTCTGTCACAAACTACAATTTATAAAATGCACCAAGTTTTTAAATGTGAAAACAAAATATATATTCACCGGGCGTATGCGATGTAGAAATGGTGCTAGATATTTGCACTACATGTATTTTGTACACGTGTCCTGACTGTTGTAAATTCAGTTAACAAGCACGGTTAGAAGTTTAAATAATTAAAATTAACCCCAATTGGAAAGATGAGAATCAACTCTTTATAGAAAAGTTGATTATTCATATGGAAATCTACTGTTTTAACTTTCATTGTTTATGCTGTGTTTCCATACAGAGTAAAGACAGTAAGGATAAATCATTTTAATATATGTTAATCGATTCCAGCATAAACGATATCGTTTAAAAACTCAACCATTTTAACGATTTTTAGTTTCTAAGATTTTTTAGAAAAATAAGTATAACATAAGGATATGTGGTAATGTTGCCAATAAGACAAGTGTCCATCATCGTCCAAAATGACTTTGATTTAAGCAACTATACAACTATAGGTCACCGTACTGCATTCAACAATGAGCAAAACCAATACCGTAAAGTCAGTTACAAAAAGCCTTCACATAACAAAATGTGAAACAATTCAAACAAAACAACTTACGGCCTAATTTATGATACAACAATAAACAAGGTATTTCAAAGTATGCTAAATACAAGTAAGAAAATCGTCTTGTCCAACAGAAAATGATATACGATACGTCCTTTAAGTGTAAAATATAAAATGTAGAGAGCATTTAATGTATACTCTAAATGTGACAGTCTTATTAAGCCGCTTAGGGTTGATGTTGACAGTTTAAAAGGCAAATCAAGCAATGTAAAGTTGTTTATAAAAAGAACTGTTTAATTATGCATTTACATCAACGTCTATACACAAAAAAGGAAACAATACGAAGAAGAATACAATCATTGTCTTTGACTTCGTGCATGTGCCTAATGGACATTTGGAGGTTAACCAAGCAATCGGTTTTGAGGGTTTATGGAATACTCATCTTAACAACAAAATTAATTACTTCAATTCTCCCATTATGAACATTCCATTCCAGAAACACATACATATAGAGTATATATCTCCAAGTTGATACAATATTCTAGAGCTTGCTTTTCTTAACAAGATTTGTTTATAAAGGTTTGCTACTTATAAGGGAGTTGATTATACCAATTTCGTAGCGATAAAGATGAAAAAGTTCCAGTGACTCAATTAATTATTATTGACAAATATCAAATACATGTACATGTGTCCTAGATTACCTCTTAAAATTTTATTTCTTCCAATTGTCGTGCCGTTCTTTGTTAGTTGTCGGATATAATTCCTTCTTTTTCTTTTATAGCGCTACCTAGGAAAGTGGATAAGGATATCACCTTTTGGAAAACCAAGGTGGATATATATGTGAGGTTCCATGATGTTTTTCCAGAGCCAAAATGTACTTGCACTTTAAATGTAAGTACGAAATACAAGAGCAATATTTTACCTTATCTAAGACATAATATTAATTCCTTAATTGTAAATCTTAATTTTTGATAGCTTAATATTGACGAATTACAGATTATTAACATGAAAATAATCTTTTAAATGTTTATGGTCATGTTCGACCGTTCCGACCAAATTATATTTCTTTATTTGACGACCAAATGGAATTAAAGGGGGTACTTGATTTAATTGATGACATAAGTGTTTTTTATCATTTATTTTGATAAGGAACATAAAAAGCCAAAAGTATTGCCGGGTATACGGGAAACGTTTCAAACGCAAAAAATTAATGCAAAAGGACAAAAGGACAAAAATAACACTCCCTGGTTTAATTGTAAACAGTTTGTAAACAGTTTAAATACAATTTTTTTTATTATCTGTGAATTTTGGCAAAACATTTTCTCTTATATCACGTCCATACTTCACAATGACTTCTGTGTAAAAAAACGCTTTTCGGTCGTGAATATTGTTTTGCAAAAATATTTACGAGACATATTAGATATTATATAAAACAGCTTATAAAGAGCCAGAAGATACCAAGATGGCATGCAAAACTCGAGGGAAACTTAAAACGCCATGGCAACACATGAAAGCATCTAAAAGATAGACAAAGTTAGGAAAACACTTCATAGAATACTAAATTGAGCAACAGACGATAAGGGTAATGAGTTAGTAGTCATGAATATTCCTAAAATTTTATACTTTAAAGTTAAGGATGTTTTCTCCTCTTGTTTTTGGATTTCTGCCAGATTTTCGGAATCCTCTGATTTTATCCATGTATTGCCATTAAAAAATTTGGCCCACTAACCCCTACTTTTCTTTTCATAATTTTATTACATATAGTTTTAAAAGCCATATTTGAAAATCTTATAAATTCCTTGTAATTTTTTCATAGTTTTTGAAACAAAAAAGCGGCCAATGTCAAAAGTATGAAAAATCTAGAGAGAATCATTTCCCGCCAAATTTGCAATGACTTTTATCTCGAAAACAAGCACACGGACGTTTCGTTTTTTCTGCTTTTCTAGTTTCTTTATTTATATTCTATCATTTCAGAATAGTCTTTTAAAAATCTTACTATTTTGAAACAGAGTAGCGAACATCCTTAAATGATTTTGATATTAAAAAAAACAACGAACATAGTATAAGAGATTCGGAAGATTCCATAGGGATAGTCAAAACGAACTTTTTTCATGGCAAAAAAACATGACAAAAAACATGGCAAAAAACGAAAACGAGAAAAAGACAAACAACAGTCTACAAAACAAAAAAAGTGTTGTAACAAAGTAGGTACTACAATTTACCACCCTGACAACCATTATTTAAAAAAAACGTTATGTTCAATATCAAAGACTGTAAAATCTCAACGAATGCGTCCAAATAAGGCGATATTTATGTAATATGACACCTTGTATGTACAATGACAATTTGCACTCTTTCCTTGCTTAAAAAAAACCCTGTTCAACCATACTGACTTTTCTATATTGATAGTAACGCAATTTGTTTTTCCTGTTAAAGGATGAAAGTATCAACAAACCATTTGACAGGAACTTCACGATGGTCGGTGCATTGTATATGGCATCATTTTGGATCAGTTTAAACCTGAGCAGTTCTTCTTGTGTGGACAGAATAAATGTAAATTGCTCTATTTTGGAGGAAATCGTTTTTGATGAAGAAGCTTTGGACACGTGTACAGGTAATTTATTATAAACATTTCATGATTTGGAAATACCAAAATTTCTATGAATCACCACTGGCGAGGTTTTATTTTATCTTTTGTTTAAATGCTTATATTGTTCAACAAGCTAATTTTTGCTAACTTTTGTATTGATTTCGTAAATTTAATACACAGTACAGATTTTGTACTTTTTTACTCTTACTTAAAATTTCGTTATGAAAATAAGGAAATGTTGTATGATTGCCAACGAAAAAAAGTATCGACGAGGATGTAAACATTTATAGATCACAGTAATTTCTTCAATACTATTCATATTATTACATCATTTGACTGATTCAAACAAAGATTTCTAAGATTAAGTAATGTTACTTTTGGTATTTCTGGACTCATCCAGGTGTACGTTGTAAACTCCAGGCAATAAATATGTATGTATTCAGAAATTAGACTAATACAGAACTTGAAAAATGTGAAAATTTTATAATGACAGCTTGTTAACTTATCAGAGGTATATATTTATAGATTACTTAATAATCGTTCGGACCTAACATTAAAAAAAAAACCGAAATGACCCCTAAACAAATTATAAAAAAAATATTTTCAAATGCATTTTTTCCATGACAATCATTATTTCTTAGCATCACACTTCCCGACTGAAACTTAATCGAATTTTTTTGTAATTTCGGGCCTTTTAAAGCTGAGGTTTGAGTTATGCTCATTGGCGAAGGCCGTTAGTCGACCAAAAGTTGCTAAATAAATCTCAGATGACTAATGCTAATTTCAGATGTTTCCATGTTGCCTGGTAGGACAAACACTCTCCTGGTTGTATCCGTTGTTTTAATAGTTGGACTTCTTGTGAATATTTTAATACTGCTGGCTATCTTCGTACATAACACAGTTTACGGTATGTTATTTATGTATCTACTAAAGTTACACTGGCAAAAATGCCACACATGTGTACATGCGTGACACATGCGTTTCACATGTGTGTCACACGCATGTGAAAGAGACGTTTCATGCCACGCATGTGACACATGTGTGAAAAACACATGTGATACGCATGATACACACATGTGATCATGCGTTTCACATGTGAATCACATGCGTAAGGAAATACACCTGTGATACATGCGTGATTACTACATGTAAAAGGCATGGTGCCTGTATTAAATATTTTTCAAAATGTCCACTTATTTGTCCAATTACCATGATTGTTGACATGTTTCTCAGTTCTCATGTGAATTACATGCAATTTCTAACACATTTTTCTAACACATGCGTTATACATGTGTTTTCTCTATATATACACAGGCAAAATGAAATTAAGGTGAATTGAGCATCAATCACACAAATTCACAGTATTTGAGCATATTTTAGATAAGTTAATGCTAATCTAGTACACATTCTATTTTGATATATAAATATTCTTCTTGGTCTTGACTATGTGTTCATACTTCCATTATATTTTACTTTCTTGATCCTAAACAATACAAAAAATATTTATCTATCAACTCCCAACTCACAATATCTCCAATGCAAGAGATAAGATGCAATAAAACAAAGAAGGCAAGCAAATATCCAGGTCACCTTAGTTCACTCCTAGAATTTTTTCGGTTATGTTCAAGTCTCAATACTTTTTTTAAAAGTCATGTAAGGATTGGTGATTCATTTATAGAATATGTATGCACTAATGTATATTTCATTTTTAATATGTATGTACAAGTCATGAGACAATCCAATCCCATTATGGAAATAGTCTTACTTGCAAAAGATGCCAATTTTTCTTTTGAAAGTTTTGAAGAAAAAAAGTATTTCACCCTGCCACATATTCCTGTGCCTGTTTCAAGCCAGGAACCTTTTCAGTGGTTGTCTAAGTCTCATCCTAATAAAAAAAAATATTTAAAGAATTTGGTGTTGATGGCAGCTCTTTGATTGGTATAGACTCTGGTTAATTAAGTAGATCATGACATTGTTTAGACACCTGTTCATTGTTGAGGACTGTATGTTAGCACCTTAATGCCTTTCATGTGTTTTTGTTGTGTAGCTGTCTGATTTATTTATACCTCATATCTCATTGTATTAATAAACTGAAATAGAAAGTTCTGTGAAATATATTTTGATATACCATATTGAAAGTCTTGCTGTTATTTACAACCATTTCCTTCTTATTTCATATATCTATTTCAGTTTTTCATTTTAACACCAGTCTTAAGGTTAAGGCAAAAAGAAAACAAATGTTGACAAACAACAGGCATATACCATTAGAAGATCTCAAAGTTTGGCTGCACAATAAACTAAAAATTATTCTTATTTCAAATATTTATATAAAAATCAGTTTAAAACATGCATTTTCCATTTTTAGACTGTAATTGTCATGTTGGCACAATAATTTGAATTTGAATTGTATTATATTCTGAGAGTACTTGTGGTTGAAAAAATATACACGATATTTAATTCCATGTGTTTTAGATTTCTTGAATACACCACTCCCATATAATGACTACATGTCTGTTAGTAATGTTAAGAGTTCTCTCCTGCATGTAATTGCTGTAATTGCTATTTGTACCCAAGGCTTCCTTCATACATTTGCACTTATCCTCCTAAGATGTTGCTTGAATGATAAAATCCTGTAATACATTATCAGCCATCCGACTCTTGGAATACAGTTGCTGTAATAAAAAAAATAAACTGTAATCACAGAGATATGTCTCGCTTTTTAGTAATTTCGATAATGCAAATGTTGAAATTAAAATAGCAACACTTTAACATGTAAGATTTGCAAATATTCAAAGTCAATGAACCATGACTAAAGGTACATGGCTAAACAATCTCCATGGAAATTAGATGTGCCAATGCTAATACAAGGCATACCAAATACCATTGACTTATCATAAGTAGTTCCCTTTAAAAAACCTAAACACAAACTAATACATGTAAACTAAGAAAATTTTAAAGTCAATAAACAATAACTGAGGGGGGGGGGGGGGGGGGGGGGGGGGGGGGGGAAATAATCTCCATGGTAATGAGATGTGCCAATGCTAATACAACTGCATACCAAATATCATTGACTTACCACTAGTGGTTTCCCATAAGCCGACCTAATCACAAACTAATACATGAAAACTAAGCAAAAGTTTCAAAGTCAATAGACCATGACTGAGCGGGCAGGGCCAAATAATCTTCATGGAAATGAGATATGCCAATGCGTATTTAACTGCATACCAATTATCATGAACTTACCACTAGTGGTTCCCCATAAACTGACCTAGTCACAAACTAATACATGAAAACTAAGCAAAAATTTAAAAGTCAATAGACCATGACTGAGAGGGTGGGGCCAAATAATCTCCATGGAAATGAGATATGCCAATGCTTATACAACTGCATACCAATCATAATTAACTTACCACTAGTGGTTCTCCATAAACTGACCTAATCACAAACTAATACATGAAGACTAAGCAAGAATTTCAAATTAAGTCAATAAACCATAACTGAGGGGGCGGGGCCAAATAATCTCCATGGTAATGAGATGTGCCAATACTAATACAACTGCATACCAAATATCTTCGACTTACTACTTGTGGTTCACTATAAACTAGACCTAATCACAAACTAATACATTGTTGACGCCGCTGTCGTCACCAACGCCAAGCGAGACAAAAACAGCATATATTTTTTGTAAAACATACATCAAATATTGGATTACCAATCAGGCAAAAAATGATAACATCAATTTAATCTCCAATGATTTACCAAACTTACATATATATATATATATATATATCGTGTGAACAACTGGAGTGGAATATAATAGTTGTTGTTTATCATATTTATTTTTCGTTTAATGTCTTTTACGTAAATTGGAATTGTATTACATCTGTAATTTCAGGACCTTTTATAGCTTGCTAGATGCAGTATCAGTTTTGCTCATTGTTGAAAGCTGTTCATACAGTGATCTATAGTTGCTAACATTCAGTCATTTGGACTCTGATGGATAGTTGTCTCATTGGCAATAATACTACATATTCTCATTTTTATCAACATAAATTACCGTAATAATGAAAACTAACTCTATTCATGCATGTGTACTACACATTACCTGTATATATAATATATACTAGAATACTCCGGGACATCATGGTGTTGTGACTGAAGCAAAGTACCTTAGCCTTATTTTTAGCCTGAATTTTAAGATTTTTCGTTTTGTCATCTAATAATGTCATGCTGGTCATTAGGTGCACAGTTTTCTCTGCTTTCAAAATCTTTCTTTTTGAACCCTTCGACCCAGAACTTGTTAATTATCTGTAGTAATAATTATGTGGAAAACAAATGGGCCTGGAATGGTGTAATTTTTAATCAACACCATTGTCCTATATATATAAGTTATAAATAAAGTTGAATTCTTTGAATCGTCATTTTTATGTCATGCCGGCTCACAAATTGGACCTTGTTATTTTAGTATTATAGATCTAGATTACTAAGTGCATGTAGAAACACAATTCCTCATTTCTCAAGCCCCTTTCTTACATGACTTAACCTCATTTAAATTACAATACCAACTAAAAGCTCCAAGGAGCCTGTGTTGCTCACCTGATATTTTTTTTATTTTACAATTGATGCATGAAATAATGCAACCGATAATACTTTTGCTTTAGTTTCAAAGATATAAGTCAAAAACTGCATTTTTCCCCCTATGTTCTATTTTTAAACTAAATACCCTAATGCTTATTATGGCCAAGTTTGGTTAAATTTGTCTCAGTTGTTTCAGGAAAAGACTTTTGTAAAAGATTACAAAAATTTACGAAAAAAATGATAAATTTGACTTTAAAGTGCAATAACTCCTTATGGGGTCATTTGACCATTTTGATCCTGTTGACTTATTTGTAAATCTTATTTTGCTGAACATTATTGCTGTTTACAGTTTATCTCTATTATAATGTTCAAGATAATAACCAATAAATTGCTTTGCCGAGCGCAGCTTGATACGACCACAGAGGTCCAACCCTGAACAGTTGGGGCAAAAATGGACACAGTATTCGCGCTTGATACAGGTCTGATTTTGGATTGCAATTCAATATTTGACACATAATAGGTTTCTGACACAGAATAACTGTAGTCAAAGAACTTAGAATTGGTTATATGATTTGAATTTATATTCAAAATTTTGCTTTTGTGTAATACACTATACTGTTGCGAATTGACCGCCACCCCCTTTTCCCTCAGTTATGGTCATAATTTCAATTCAAATTTCCAAGTTGTATTTGAATTACCTCCCTTACACTGTAATTTGTTCTTAAGTAATTTTCCATTAACCAGGACACCCTTGTTTTTTCTCACTTTTTTGCCCCCAATTCCTAAATGGTTTGAGCCATAACCCCCCAAAGCCAATCCTAACCATCCCTTTGTGGTATGGAAACTTGTAGTATAATTTCAGAGAGATCCATACACTGTTCCACAAGTTATTGTCATGAAACTAGAAAAATGCTTATTTGGGCCCCTAATTCCTAAACTGTTGGGACCATAACCCCCAAAATCAATCCCAACCTTCCTTTTGTGGTTATAAACCTTATGTTTAAATTTCATAGATTTCTATTTACTAATACTAAAGTAATTGTCCAGAAACCAAGTGTCTTCGGGCGACGACGACGACAACGTGATACCAATATTTTTTGCGGTCGTATAAAAATTGAAAAAAAATTTCTTAAAATTACCAATTCAGGGGCAGCAACCCAACAACGGGTTGTCTGATGCGTCCGAAAATTCAACAGAGATAGATTATTAGATATTCACCTGATGAACATTTTTACCCCATGTCAGATTTGCTCTAAATGCTTTGGTTTCAAAGATAGAATCTAAAAACTGCATTTTATCCCCATGTTCTATTTTTAGCAATATTGGCCA